TCTCTTCCCATGCCTCTGTGCCTCCATGAGCTTCCACAGGGGCCCCTTTCAGTCGACTCATGGGTCACCTTCTCTTCCCCCCCCCCCCCCAGTGTCCCTCGCTCTCGGCGACTTCCGCAGCCAGTCCTACTGAAACGACTTGCGAGTCACTTATGACTCGCCTTCCAACCCACCCCCTTCTCTCCCCCTTGACTTCCAACCCACCCCCTTCTCTCCCCCTTGACTTCCTTCTCCCCCCTCCCCCAGCCGATCGCTGTCCGCAGCCTCCGTTGGCTCAATGGGCTCCTACTGGGGCGGCCCCCCCGCCGGCCTGCCGCAGCCCACGCCCGTGGGAGGGGGCGGCTGGGGAGGGGTGCGGCGGCAGCAGAAGTGGATGGTGGACGGCTCGTGGGTGGAGAGCATGCGCCGGGTGAGTGGGGAGTGGTGGAGTGGAGTGGAATGGGATGGATGGGGTGTTGGCTGGGATGGACTGGGATGGAGTGGAATGGGGAGGGGTGGCAAGACGTGGCATGTAAATAGATGAGAACAGGGTCGGGATGGAAGAAGCAGATGATTTGACTTGCACCATGCATGCGTTCCCACCATATGCATGCATTCCCACCATATGCATGCCATTCCCACCATGCCCTTCTACCCTTGTGTGCAATCACTGTTTGCTGTGCATGCTACCATCCGTAATTGCATATTTAAGATGCTCTTAAATCATATGCCATCAAATGATCGCACCACAACCCCACAATGCCACCACGCCATGGCGCCATCAGGAGCATGCGGAGATGCGCAAGAAGCTGGAGGAGGAGAGGCAGCGCTCGGCAGCACTGGAGCAGGTGAGCGCCGTGCTGCATGCAGCCTTGCCCGCATGTAATGCAAGTGCCGTTTCTGCTTACCTCCCGCGACTTCTTCCCTTGGCATTGCAGTTTTTCTTCTCGTGACTCATTCTCACCTCTCACCATATCCCCACCCCTCGCCGCATCCCCACCCATCACTGCATCCCCACCCCTCACTGCATCCCCACCCCTCACTGCATCCCCACCCCATATCATACACCATGTCATACACCATGTCATACACCATGTCATACACCATGTCATACACCATGTCATACACCATGTCATACACCATGTCATCCTTTCACCTGCACACGACTCATCCCTCCCCCGGCCTTCACATCTCAGCCCTGACCTGGCCCCTCCTATCTCACCCCTCCTCCGACCCTTCACATCTCATCTCCCCCACGCCCAGCACAACTCACCCCGCTCCCCACATGTGAACCCAAACACATCTCACCGCTCTCCACCCATCTCCACCTGCCTCTGCCCATGGCTGCAGGTGCAAGCGGAGAAGGTGTGGATGGAGGCGGCGCTGGTGCAGCTGCTGGAGTCGCGCAAGCGCTACGAGGGGGAGATCGCACACCTCATTGCCAAGGTGCGTTGGGTTTTAATCTGAAAGCAAACACCCTTGGCTGGTTTCGAGATACAAGTGTCGCTGCCATGTGACGTCAACGCACCCAACTCGTGTTTCTTCCTGGGTTCGCGGAAGCCCTACGAGGGGGAGAAGGCACTGGCGTTGCCTTCATTGCTCACCACGTTTGTCGAAGAAACTTCTCTTCCTCCCTACCTTGACAGGAGTATCCGGTCATGTTCTCCGCCCTCTGCCCTTGCTCCGTGTCTCACTGCAACAGGTCGCTCATCTGGAGGCCAGTGCAGCAGCCAGCTGACACTCCCATTTCACAGCTCCACTAACACTCACTCTCACATGTACGTGCCACACTCACTCTCACAGGCACATGCCACACACTCTCACAGGTACGTTCCACACTCACTCTTACATGTGGGTACTAGACGCACCTTTCTCTTTCAGGTATAGGCAGTTAGGTATCACACCTGCTCACTGTTTCTCACTTCTTCCCTCACTTCCTCTCCCCTGGACTACTTACACTATTCTGACAAAGTGGTTTGATTACTGTACATTTTTCTCATCACTGTGCTAACATTGTGCTGCATCCTCTACGGTGGCTGTGGCAGATACAGGAGCTATACTCCAACATGCGGGCTGATTCAGTTGTCCCTTCTGCTGTTACGCATTTCTCACGGCACCTTTTGTGTGAATCAGTTAATCAAATGGTGCTTGTATATTTCATGACAGGTTTTGTGCAATTTATCCAGTTTTGTTTGTGTGCTTTTTGGTGATGAGTCAGTGTATCCTGTGCTACTGCATACTCCACCTGCAAATGTTCACAGCAAAACCACTTTACATCTGTTTAAACACGAGCAGAACGTTAGAACAGAAAAGAGGGCTTTGACTAATAGGCAGGTGGGATACAAGTATCGTAGGAAACCCTAACAGGGTTGTACTCACTACAGCGTACCCCACTACAGCTTACACAATATCATATTCTGACACACCCCCATAGGCAAAGTGGGGTATAATCAGCACAGCTAGCAATCACATAAGAAGTTCACATGCATGAGCTAGTAGTGGAAACAGAGGGCAAGTGAGGCGGAGGAAGAAGAACTAAGGGAGGAGAGGAGAGGAGATACCGTCATACCCCGGATAGAAGCGCAGGCCTCGGATAAGCGCCGGCGCTTATAAAGGGATGAGGGCGCTTATATCCGGTCCTCGATTATAAGCGCACCCCCTAAAAATTTATGATTTATTATAAGCGCATGTCGAATATTATCTGAAAATCAGTCGAAACACATAAACGAATTTCACCTTACCAGGGAAGCGAAGTACAGCTCCACTTTCCTACTCAAATCACACTTGCTGCGCGTCTAGTCAGCACGCGCTGTCGCTTAGTCAGCATGTGTTGGCAGGGAATCAATCCCTGCCAAGTTGCTCGAGAGTCAAATTCGCGACCCCATATATTTTCGACTCGATTACAATTGGCAGAACGAGATCTACAGTTTGGTGTTACAAAGAAACTTAATTTCATTTTGCCGTTATATAAACGCCGGCGCTTATAAATTTCCTCAATTATAAGCGCACCCCCTAAAAAACAGTGTTTTATTACAACCCCAGGGGCGCTTCTATCCGGGGTATGACGGTAGGAGGCGGCGGCTGAAGCTGCTGGCACACGGGCGACTGGAGCAACTGGCACACAGGCTACCGGAGCACGACGGCACCAGACTACGGGAGTAACTGGCTCCGCGGCTACGCCGAGTGGCTGGAGCAACTGACTCACGGGCGACTGGAGCAACGGGCTCGCTGGCTACCGGAGCACGCTGGCTCTGGACTACTGGCGCTGCTAGCGTCACGACGGCTACCTCCGCTCAACCTCCCCCCATTGTCCCAATCCCCTTTTCACACACCCCCTGCTGCACTCCTAGCGCCAATCCCACTGCAACCCCTAGCGCGACTCCCTCGGCTCCCACACACCCACCCCCCTCAGCGGCAGCTGCAGCAGTGGGAGAGAGAGGAGGAGGAGGAGCAAGGGACGACGCACACCCGCCACCCCCATACCCGCCACCCCCATACCCTCCCCCACGGCTGCACGCGCAGCAGAGAGACGACGGGGAAGGAGGGGGGGGGGGGGGGGGGGGGGGGCGGGGAAGAAGCCGCCCCGCAGCTGCACAAGGGCAAGGGGCGGCGCGCGGCTCCACAGGGCAGCGCTCGCGGGTCCACGGGGCAGCGCGCGCGGGTCCTCTGGGGCGACGCGCGGGTCGACGGGGGCAGTGCGCGGGTCGACGGGGCAGCGTGCGCGGGTCCCCTGGGACGTCGCGCTGGTCGACGGGGCAGCACGCGGGTCCACGGGGCAGCGCGCGCGGGTCCAGCGGGGCAGCGCGCGGGTCCCGCAGGGCGTCGCGCGGGTCTAGCGGGGGCGGCGCGCGGGTCCAGCGGAGCGTCGCGCGGGACGAGCGGGGGGGGCGCGCGGGTCCCACGGGGCGACGCGTCGGGCAGGAAACCGCCGCGCGCCCCGAACGCGCGGCAGGCAGAAAACGTCGCGCGCCCGGGGCGCACGATAGGCAGGACAACAGCGGAAGCATACGGTGGGCCCACCCACAGGATCGACCCAGGAGGGTCGACCTGCTCTGATAGCATGTTGTAACACGAGCAGAAAGATAGAACAGAAAAGAGGGCTTTGACTAACAGGCAGGTGGGATACAAGTAGGAAACCCTAAAGGGTTGTACTCATTACAACGTACCCCACTATAGCCTACACAATATCATATTCTGACAACATCACATACAGTACCGTAGTTGTTTGCAAGTATTTTACTCCTACGGGTGTTGTCGCTCCTCATTGCTGCCGTGTGCCGAACTCATTGGGAACCCCCGATATTTGACAACACAACTACCCAAGTCACAGTGCAATGGTTGCAACTAGAGCAGAGTCTGTACTTCTCTTCATACGGATTGAGGTGATGGGCTATCTGGTGAGCATATATGGGCTGATGCCTGTCAGCGTGTTTGCACCTTTGCTAGTCAATTTCCACCTCACGAGATGGTGCTGGAGGAAACGACTGCCTTGTATACAAAGTGTGACTTGGCTGTATCAACCAAGTGCGCACCTGTCAGGATGTTTCATGGCGAACGAGTCTCTTGTCACTTAATTTAAATTTGAGAGCGAGAACGGTCAAAAGACTATGACGTTGATAGGGGAATACGAGAAGGGACAGTGAGAATGTGAGTGGAAACGGGGTGTGGGATGGTGAATGCGAGTGAGATTGCTGTCCACCTGGAAAGTTCTTACAGGCATTTGCATGTTCTGAGCGAGTTTTTTTGCACAGCATAGGAAATAGAACGATATGGAAACCTTTTTTTTTTTTCCATTATGTGCAATTGTATAGCTAGGTACACAAAAAATATGTACATTGAATTCACAACACGATATGGCTCACTCAACGTCGTTAACGAATCTCCCTGTACCGGGGTTGATGGCGCACTCACTCGTCGTGTCGTTGATGAATTTCCCTGTACCAGGGTTGATGGCGGAGACGAAGAAGAAGGCGATGCTGGCGAGCAGCAGCGGCTCGAGCTCCCACACGGGCACACCGATCTCAATGTTGAGCTGCGCCAGCGCGCCCTTGCGCGTGATCACCTATCAGGCTCGCCGCAAACCCTAATTGCGCCAGCCGCCCCACGAACAGCTCGTTCGCCTTGGTGAAGCCAAACAGCGGCCCGTCCTCGCTCAGCCCCAGCGCCGCCTTGAAGCTGCCGGGCTTCACGGGCGGCCCCACAGGCTCGTCGTCCACGAATCGCCCGCGGTCGCCCAGCCCGCCGATGGCGCCGAGCACGGTGAAGGTGATGAAGAAGAGCAGCAGCGGCTCGGTCTCCGTGATGGGGATGCCCGTCTCGATGTTGAGCTGCGACAGAATGCCCGCGCCCGTAATCACCTCGCCCAGCAGCGACGCCGCGAAGCCCAGCATGGCCACGCACCCCATGAACAGCTCGTTCGCCTTGGTGAACCGGAACCCGCCCGACGTGCCGAAGATGCCGTCCTCCGTGTGCAGCTTCGTCGCGGGGACGCTCTTAGCGGGGATGGCGGCCTTGCGCGAGCTGAAGAGCGCGGTGACGTCCAGGCCGCGCGGAGCTTCTAGTTTGGGAACGGCGGTGAGGCTGCAGGAGGCGAGCTCGGTACCTCTGACGGCAGAGCTGAGGGAGAGGCCTGAGAGGAGCTGACGAGAAGCAAGTGCGGAGGCCATGGCGGTTGTGCGGACCAATTGAAACGAAGCGATGTGCAAGAGGACAGTTGTGGGTGTTGGGCACGAATTGTAAAAGTGCACATTTGAATTTGCTTCACCAAACGATGAGGGGGGAGTCAACCGAGGCGCGCCATGTCGGCTGATCAACGCTCATGTGACCTGTCGTTGCTGGCCTGTGGTGGCGATGTGTGGTGCTTGTTCGCTTTCACCGCAGCGCACTCACCCGGCGCAACCTTTTGGGAACCTGGTTTGGGGATATCTGACGTGGCTAAACCTGAAGCGCAAATTCGTAATGAGGGACGTGGGAGTCGCTGGTGTTCTGGATCTTTGGGACATGCTGCATCGCGAATGTTTTGACTAGTCGACGTGGTGGTGCGCTGGCGGGTAAATGTTGCTGACATGGACATGGAAAGTTGTGGGTTTTCTTCGCTGGACTACTTTTCGTGGCAAGTAATTTCCAGGGACACTCTCACGAATTTCGTCAGGACAGTAGTACATCTTGCGTGTTGAATTTCCCCACAGCGTCACCCGATGTCTTGGCTCAGCTACATGAAATTATTACAAGAACTGGCATAATAAAATCTATTTTATTTTCACTAGCCCTTCATACATGCTCCACATGAAGGATATAGAAAATGTAACTCACATTAGCGTAGCATGTAGCTGCCACAATCACCCAAACAGGTAGGTACCATAACCGACTCACTCAGACAGCTACAGACGCACTCGAGTACCTACTGTTACGAATAGTAAATTGAGAAGCGCTACTGTGTCTTCCTGCGAGTAGCAAGAACGGAAAGCACAGAAGAGAGTATGAAGACAAAGGGTCAGAGCGACACGAACGGTTGCAGAGCGTTTGGACCGTCGGAGCAGATGACATCGGGCAGCTACAACAGCGAGGAAAATGGCGGGAACAGTTTCGTAACTGTACGCACCGCACGGTTGGGTTTGAATTTGAATAAGGGAATGTACCCCTTAGAGTACATAGCTAGCTAGGACGTTCTGTATTCCCTTGTACTGTTGTTTATACGAATGTATTTGCATGTCTTTATCATCTCAGTCATTTTAAATTCACTATAATCTGATGTCACAATCTTCCGCAGCAATACTCTGATTCTGTGAACCTTCCTGAGGTGATCCTAGGCAAGATCAACTTTCTGATTGAAACATGGCATCAGAGCGACTCAGGAATCTTTCGCAACGCCACCACCAAAATCTTCGGTGAACTGAAGGTGGCGTCCGGCACACGCTCGCGCGTAAGAATGGCCAGAGAATCTGGTGGTCGATGAGCACGTACAGCTGTTGATGGGACGCTGCCGCATAAGTCAACACCAATTTGCTGGTGTCCCGGTCGATCAACTAACCAGGGCGACGAGGTTCTGCGGGACACGCAATAGTCGCCCGGGTGGTTCTGGCGAAGGCGACCTCGGGAGTGGTATCCCGAGGTCGATGTGGCTGATCATCAGACGCAAACATCGGCCGACCTACAAGTGACGGTGCACGTCAGGCCAACCATCTGCGAGTACCTGCGAAGGAGGCGTGAGCGGGGGCGCTGCTGTCACCTTTGGGTGCAACGCTAGACAACCACCTTGCTGCAGCATTGACAAGCCGCCTTTCTGTAGCACTGGAGCGGTGCGGACTTTGTAGTGCTGGAACGCGGTTGACCATGCTGCGCTGGAGGTCGACCTGCTTGCGTGCTAGGCAGACCTGCTTCCAATGTAGTCAGCTTTGCAAATTTGTTGGCAAAACGACCTTCTCTAGTGAATCTCTTGTCGTTTTGCCCTGTAAAGACGCCAGTACCAAAGAACGCAAAAAAACGCTGAGATCACTTACACAACCGTGCCTTCCCCATAGTCTAGCTCTCGTTGTAGAGCCAATCTCCGCATGGTGCGGTGAGCATGGACGGTCCTGCAACTTACCTCCAGTTTAGTTGACCTAAGCCTGCATTACCTAAGTCGTTCGTAGGCCGGCAGCCCCTGCAAGCCACGTCTCCTATCACGGAAGAACCCGCGGTGGCAGAGGATACGCTTGGCTGATGGCTGATGCGATGAGACGCCATGGCGATGACGAGTTCAGGCTGGTGCTTCCCTTGGAGGTGGTCCTCATCGGGATCTGTGCGAAGTGGGCGTCGGAACACCCCTCCCTACCTGCTTCTCCTCGACCGGTGGGAACGAAGGCAGCGTCGACGAGGAGCTCAACGGCGGCGACCAGGTCGGCAGTAGTGACGGAACGAAGAAGCGTGGAGTGATCAGGATGTCAGAATAACTAGCCAAGAATTATTGAAAGGAGAGGGGTTGAACTAGCAGGCAGTTGAGTACAAATAGCAAACCCTAGATTGGGCTGTACTCGCTATAGAGTACCCCACTGCAGGCTAGACAATAATAGCATTCTGACACACCCCCATAGCCAAAGTGGGGTGTAATCAGCAGAGCAAGCAAAGCAGTACAAGCTCAGGGTGGATCACAATGTCACCACACATTCTGAGCACAAGTTCAAGAAGCAATAGTTTAAAGTTCACAGTTATGAGCAAAGCTAGAGGCAGTCACAGAGGGCAAGCGAGGAGGAGGAGGGCTGGCGAGAGGAGAGAAGATGAAAGGCGCCGACTGAAGCTGCAGACACACGGGCAACAGGAGCGGCGCGCACAGTGGCTACCGAGCGCACGAGGGCACCGGACTACGGGAGTATCTGGCTCCGCGGCTACGACGAGCACACACAGGAGCAACGGACCCACAGGCGACTGGCGAAGCAGGCTCGCTGGGCTACCGAAACGCGCGAGGGCATCCGGACTACTGGCGCTGCTGGCGTCACGACGGCTACCTCCACGCAATCTCCCCCGACCGTCCCACGCCCCTCTCACACACCCCCTGCTGACACCCTAGCTCCACTCCGACGGTACCCCCCTTAAACCCCAAACCCTAGGCTCCCACACACCACCCCCCTCAGCGGCAGCTGTAGCAGAGGGAGACGAGGGAGGAGGAGGAGCAGGGGGAGGAACTCACAACCGACACCCCCATAGCCGCCACCCCCACACTCTTCACCCCCAAACCCTAATTTAGGAGAACGGGCTGTAGGAGGGGTGAGGCGCCGGTAGAAGCACGGGGGACAGTGGAGAGGGCAGGAGCAGCGAGGAACGGGCCGCCCACGGGCCTGGTAGAGCCGCCCGAACCGCGCGCAGGCGGCCCGAGCCGCGCGCGGGCCTGGCGCTTCCCGTACGGGCCGCGCGCGTGCCTGGCGCAGCCCGTACGGGCCGCGCGCGGGCCTGGCGCAGCCCGTACGGGCCGCGCGCGGGCCTGGCGCAGCCCGTACGGGCCGCGCGCAGGCCTGGCGCAGCCCGTACGGGCCGCGTGCCGGGTGTACGGGCCGCGCGCAGGCCGTGACGGGCAACGGGGGGCGACGCGCGGGTCCCCGTCGCCCGTCGCAGCGCCTCCCGGGGGCGACGTGCCGAGTGACGGGGCAGGAACCCGCCGCGCGCCTCGGGGCACACGGCGGGCAGAGAACCGCCGCGCGCCTCGGGGCGCACGGCGGGCAGAAAACCGCCGCGTGCCTCGGGGCGCACGGCGGGCTGAAAACCCTAGTTTCGACGCCGCGCGCCACGGGGCGCGCGGCGGACAGGGAGTAGCAGTAGCAGTAGCAGTAGCAGCGGAAGGCTTAGGTGGTGGGCCCACCCACAGGATCGACCCAGGAGGGTCGACCTGCTCTGATAGCATGTCAGAATAACTAGCCAAGAATTATTGAAAGGAGAGGGGTTGAACTAGCAGGCAGTTGAGTACAAATAGCAAACCCTAGATTGGGCTGTACTCGCTATAGAGTACCCCACTGCAGGCTAGACAATAATAGCATTCTGACACAGGACAGCCGACATCGAAGTCGGCGGGCAGCAGGCGTGAGGGTTGCGCTCGTCGGGGGCCGCAGGCAGCTCGCAATGCGACGTCGGTGGACGGCGTCATTCACCTAAGCGGAGCAGTGTGACGGCGACGTTGGTGACCTACTTGACGGCGGGCGGGATTGCACCGACTTACGTCTACTTCAAGTTCTCGCCGGACAAGATCGCAGTCCCCGTGATGCTGGTAGGTCGACATGACCTCATCACGTGGAAGAAGTCCATCAAGCCCCAGCCGGAGATAGCCGGCTTGATGTGCTTTGCCGAAGGCTCCGTGACAAACGAGGAGATGACGACAATGACAAACGAGGAGATGACGGCAATCAGCACAACCGTCCTCGCACAACTACTTCAGCGACTCTCAACTCTGGAGCAAAGATTCCAGACATTGCGGAATGGCGACGCGGGAACATCTTCCCAACCCTCTCAACCGGCCCCAAACGACCGTGATACTGCCTCGCACACCTTCTCCCTCGAAACAAATGGTTCAACTCTCAAGACTCCTTGTACAAGTGATGAAGCATTTCTTGTCAAAGGTCCACTGGGAAGGGTTATAGACACGTTGGCCTGGGGAGTTATGGGCGTACTCACCCGCTACACAAACAAGCCCTTTTATCCCAGTGGTTAGTGGCTGGGATTCTGACACGATATCAGAGCGAAGGTCTTGGGTTCGAATCCCGGTGTGTGCACTTCGGGCATCCCAGTGCGGGGGGGTTTCAGGGGTCCACTGAAGATCCCCGATTGATCTTAGGGAAAGGTTACATGCACGCTGGCCTGTGGGGTTATGGGCGCACTCGCCCGCTACACAAACAAGCCCTTTTATCCCAGTGGTTAGTGGCTGGGATTCTGACATGGTATCAGAGTGAAGGTCTCGAGTTCCAATCCCAGTGTGTGCACCTCGGGCATCCCAGTGCGGGGGGGTGTCAGAGGTCCACTAGAGATCCCCGATTGATCCTAGGGAAGGGTTACAGGCACGTTGGCTTGGGGGGTTATGGGCGCACTCACCTGCTACACAAACAAGCCCTTTTATCCCAGTGGTTAGTGGCTGGAATTTTGACAATTCTCTCAGCTCAATCAATGTTTTTGAGCATAAAAAAAATAAAGACAAGTGCCTGCTTTG